CCAGTAGCCATAGAAACGTGCATACGCCAGTAACCATAAAAACGTGCGTACGCCAGTAGCCATAGAAACGTGCATACGCCAGTAACCATAAAAACGTGCGTACGCCAGTAGCCATAGAAACATGCGTACAGTAGCCACAGAAACGTGCATACGCCAGTAACCATAGAAACATGCGTACGCCAGTAGCCATAAAAACGTGCGTACGCCAGTAGCCATAGAAACGTGCATACGCCAGTAACCATAGAAACATGCGTACGCCAGTAACCATAGAAACATGCGTACGCCAGTAACCATAGAAAATTGTGTACGCCAGTAGCCATAGGAACATGCGCCAGTAACCATAGAAACATGCGTACGCCAGTAACCATAGAAACATGCGTACGCCTTAGATGGAGCAGAAAAAGTTTTGTTACTCCAGGTGTACTGACGGCTGGAGGGATGATGATGTCTCCAAATGTCCAATAAATTCAGTCTGTTAGAAAAGTCCATAAGAAGATTTTGTCCATTTCTAAGACTTGAAGGACATCTGTCCAGCTGAGGGGACCAAACCAAATTAAAATCTCCTCCTAAAAGAACCTTTGCTGATGGAATTTGGTCCATAGAAATAACAGAGTCCTCCAGCTCCTTCAAGAGAATCAAATTTAAAGAATCAGAATTATATCCATAAATATTACCCAACAGAAAAATGTAGGAATGAAATTCAATCCCCGTGAAGATCCAATGCCCCTTAATATCAGATTTGACCTCTAAAATGTTACCTTTGAAGTTGTCTTAATGTAGCTACTCCACCTGATTTGTTTGAACCATAAATCTTTGCCCCATTGGGATTTCCAAAAGGTTTCATCGTCCAAACATGAGTGACATCCCTGAAGAAAAATGAAATCCGCTCGTGCCTCTTTAGCAAACAAAAATAAAGCTTTTCTTTTTATATTATTCTGCAAACCCCTTGTATTAACGGTTAAGAATAACTCCAAAATGTCTTCTCTTTAACAACAATACTGCTCCATCAGAAACACTGTTGTCCAGATGCCTGTCCAATTTCTTCTCCATCTACGAAAGCTTTTCG